AAACGTAATAAATAAAGTAAAATAATAAACTTGTATTCCTTACCTTCGATCTTCTCATTAATAATATTATTCTTCACAAAATTTTCTGTGTTGTTAATTCCACTTTCCTTGTAAATTTATCTTTGCTCCATTTCTTTTTCTGTTAAAAGAGTAAATAAAAATGGTTAGTTACCAAAAATTTTTAATCCAATGGAATTAAAATATCGTTTGTAACTATTATATACTGTACTGTAAAATAACATTTCCCCCGGAAGATAGCACCTCCCTACTTTAAAACAATTGAAAATAATTTGTTACACATTATAAATTGTTGTGAAAGGGGATGTTATCTTTCAAACAAATAGTATAAAAAAAAAAAAATACAAAAATTTTTTCAAGAAAAAAAAACTCTAAATTTTTCACGCAAATACCTACCAAAAAAAATTTTTTACGCAATAACGGCAAATACCAAAAAGAAATTTTTGTGCCATGACTATAATAAAAAAATACAAAGAATACAAAAATAAAGGAGAAAGTGAATTAACATATTAGGAATTGATGATTATTATACTCATTCGATGGATTAAATAAATATGTTATAGAAGTAACGATTTCCAATGCTGAACAGAATTGCTTACCGTCAACAAGAGGAGAATGCTTATTATTAGAGCAAAATTACCTTCAACACAACACAATAATAGAAACAACATAAAATGAAGAATAAGAGATTAGAAAATTAAAAAAATTAAAAAAATTAGAAGGAAACTTTAAAAAGTTAAAAATTTAAAAAACACCAAACAATCAAAGAATCAAAAGATAAACACGGATGAGCTTTTGGAACAAGAATAGGAACGAAAGAATTAATTAGGAAATGACTATCATCCGATTCTGATTGAACCCATATTAAGAATTGATTATATACTTCAAGGGAGAGAACACATTTTTTATCTAAAGAAATAATGCAAGGGTATAAGCAACCACGACAAACAATAGTAGTAAACAACTATCATTAAAAAAAGATAAAGTTTTGTCAATGTTCATTATGAAAGAATGTATGGAATGTATGGAATGCGTCGTTTAATATCTATTTATGATTGCGGTCATCTTAGATGTGTTTGTTTAACAAAGGAAATCTATAATTGTTTCGATAGACATATTTAGATATTTATTAAGAAAAAAAAAAAAATTCAATGAAATTTGAATTTAGTGTGCGCTTAACTTTAATCTAAAAATAGAATTTTTTTTATGTATGAATCCTCGTTTTTGGTGGTATTCAATTATTTGTAGGCATTTTAGCTATTGTCTGTTATTGAATGATGGGTTTAAGAACACATCTTCAATTTTAACGATTTTAGCAACCCATAATAAAATATTGAATTTAGTTACATTGTGTACAACTAATTCAAAAGATTAACGTTGTGTATGCTTACCTGCTAGGTAAACTTACTAGTTATAATCAATTTGCCAAGAGCACAGTGAAAA